GTATCTTGTGCCAATCGTCAACAGAGTATGCACCAGTTTTAGAATTGATAGTGTTATTTAGGAAGAATAAGTTCCCCTGTTTAGAGATAGGAAATTTGGTCCCATCTGGTGCATGCATCTCTGATGAGTCCGGCCCAAAATTTACAGAAGCACCTTTCTTGTTGGCTAACCCTACTGAAATATGTTCTGTTGTAAGACGGAATATACAATACATTTTCTAGTATTATATCATGAGATTTACCATCAGAATCATGTATAGTTGTACTAGCAACACCTTTACCTCTAACTATACCGCTTGTCCGGCTACCATCGGCAAGCTCAATGAGGTGATTTTCTGGTTTGACACTCTCGTCAAGATCTATAAACTTTGACTTATCTTTGAAAATGTGTGACGTAGCACCTGTATCGACTAACAATGCATTTTCACTTATTTGAACACTGTTAGCTGAGTCTAGATCAACACCAACTTTAAAAACAAAAGAATGTTTCTGTTCATTTTCACCACTAGATGTCGCTGCTGTTTTGGCGCTGTCCTGTCGAATCTTCTTACTGCGGCACTCACTCGTGTTGTGCGATTTCTTCTTACAGTTTTCGCACCAACGACTGCGACCCTGCCCTTTGGGTTTCTGCGATTTGCTGCTTTTACACTCTGGAGATTTGTGGTCAGGTTTGCAACAAGCATAGCAGACGATCGATGAACCTTTGTTGGCCATGTGCATTACACTGTCCTCACTGTGGTGAGTGAGGGAGGATTTTGAAGCCTTTTCAGTCTCCTCGTGGCTCCTGAGGGCTTTCTTAAAGTCACTGAAGATCATCGCTGATTCACGTTGCACGATAATTGTAGAGAACGTTTTGTACTCTGGTGGGAGACCCTTCAGCACCATAGCTATTAGGAGAGAGTCACTAACAGTCTCTTGGGCATGTTTGAGGGATTGGGCGGCTGTCTCTGCACGGAGAACATAGTCAGTTACAGTTTCACTAGGGGACATCTTTAGAGATGTAAGTTCAGTATATAATGCCAAGATGCGTGGCTTACCGGTACCCAGGTAATGTCCTCTTAGTATCTGGAGTGCTTTCCTACCATTATCTGGAGCCTCATTTAGTACTAAGGATAAACTTTGGTCATCTAAACACTGGATCAATTCAGCAAATGCCTCTGCATTCTTCGCCGAGTCATCTTCCTCTGGCTCTACGCCTCCTGGAGGAAGGATGGTAGCATGCACATTTTGTATACGCATGTACCCTAAGAACTTTGCTTCCCATAGCGTATATCTGCTTGTTCACCATCAAATAGTATACCCTGCATGGGCCCATAGCCTGTTGCACTCATATTTACTATTTGGAGTAATGGTGGATGAGCTTTTAGTCAAGATTTAACAAGATAAAATAACAACACATGTAACTGCTTCGACTGTTTATTATCAAGTGCCAAGAAAAACGGAAATGACATAAGTTGACCTATTTACAAACTCTAGGTGGCGGTAATGTATGACACAGTGGAACATGCGATATTATTAACTATGTGATGGTGAAGTTTATAATCTAACAGCACTGTCTGGTTTTAGTCGCCTTTTTTTGGATGTTGATTTAATGAAATCCTTTTATGGAAATGACTTGAGCACATTTTGGCAGATAAAGTTAATGCCAAATGACGTTTATCTCTTTTAATCCGGTTAAACCACTTATCCCTTAATGATCGGTTATCTGATGGCAAACTGTGATATGACAGAGTAGGATGGTCAGATGATAAATTGCTGCAATCACATGAGGCAAAAGTCCCCGTTAGCAGAAATGGTCCATAGTGAGCTGTCTGATAGTTGAGAGTGAGCTGTCAAATGGTCCAGAGGGAGCTGTTAGCAGCTCCATTAACTTAACTTTAATTGGTTTTAAGAATGTCCATTGGGAGTTAACAAGAGATTCCTGACCAGCAACATATAGCCATTGGAATGTAAACAAGAACCCCATTACAATCACTCACTTCATCTCATGGGCTTCAGTGGCAATAAATAATTTAAGAACCCATCGCTATTCAACAAACCAGCAGGATTTATAACCCGGGTTTTTCCAAAAGCCGGGTGCCATGGACCAGTTCTGTTAACGGCCAAAAATGCAGCATGAAATGCTATACAGTAGAGTGGCATCACTGCAAACTGAAAAATAAACATTAAACATAAAGATTTGAAAAATAAAGCTTTAACAAAGTTGTGTAAAAGTAAAATAGACTTAACCAAAATCAACTACAGTATTAATTATCGTTAGACCAGCCCAAGCTGCCACGTCTAGCTAGCCTACAGTAGGGTACAACCAATAGGCTACAACCAGTAGGCTAACAACAGTACAGTAGGGGCCTACGTAGTCAAGCTAGAAAATTACACTTTATTAATACTGTAAAATGTAACTGTAAACCTATTATAATACCATAATAATGGACTATACTTGGATCCAAAAAATAAAACGAACACTAATTATCCAGTTACCAACGAAGCAGTGGGTAGGTACAGACACAGACGTGCCTGGGCTGGGATCATTTTGCGTGGACTTTCTAGGCCTAGGTAGGCCTGGCCTAGCACTGGTTGGCTGGTAGGTGACACAAATGCGCCAATTTACGGTTTTATTTCAATACAAATTTAACTAAAATGTGTTGAAATCTGCCTATACAATATAAAATGTTACAGGGAATTGTAAAAAAATGCCATGCTACTGTTTTAAATGTGTTTAAAACGTTCGTTTACTTACACGTTTCAACACACCGTGGCTGTAGCCTTGGCCATAATTTCCATCCACTGTAGCAGGGAGCTGAAAATTGGCAGAAATGAAAGACTGAGAGGTTGACTCATACAGGTCATCATTTTTACTCCATTGCGCTACTTTCTTGTCTCGTTCTCAATCAAAATAAGATTAGGGCCTAGATGGAATTTATAATAAATTGTAATGATTTTTCAACCTTTAAAAACTTAATCAAAACCCAGGTTGTCATGTTTTATCATTTCCACTGCAAAGCGCTGCAAAGTTATGTTTTCTTGCCTGATCTATATTAAATATTAGTTCTTTTGGCATTCTAATTTACTTTTCTTTCATTTTTTGTTTATTTAATCCACTTGTGAAACCAGTGCTGCGTCACTGAAAGTGCTAATAATAAAAAGATAGAATTATTAATAAATATAACTGGTTTAGAAATTATAATTTATATTGGATTGCTATTACAATTAGATACAATGTAATGGTAATTAGATAAAATGTACAGGTAATTTTATTTTAAAAACATTAAATATCCAATGAATATTGTAGAATAACGTTCATTTTATATTGTTAATAAATGTATTAAATTGTAACTCGCGTTTCCTCGCATTTCATTCATGTTTGGTGTTCTAAAAGAAGTCTATTGCATGGATGGGCATAAAAATAGGACAAAGGGCCACAGTATATTTTTGATTTAACAACGAGGGCTGCACCTAATTTTCTTTTAGAACTAGGGTACATATGGTGTACCGCAAGCATTTTTTTCCTGTTAATTGTTACATCATAAATTCAATAAATAACAACAAAATAGCGTACAGGAGAGGAGTACTATGTACTATAGCAACATGAACCTCCCAGCATAAAAACACCATCCCAATATACTGTACTGTCACAATGTTTAACATTGAACACAGGTATAGGGCTTAATATAATTTTATTTTTTAAATATTATTATGGATAAATGATTAACAGACCTAGCGAGTATCTGCCGACTGTATTACGATAACAGAGAGGTGTATGAATTTTCTTTCCGGGCGGCAAACTGGCATTCGGCGAAATGTCCTAGTACCTGATCGTGTCAAGCCGATCGTGTACTCTCTAGTTTTGAGCTGATGTGATCCAAAATAGCTAACTTAGCTTTAATATTAGCTAAAACATTAGATTTCTAGCCTGCTATTCCCTCTGTAGTTTTTACTGTTCGATTCCTAGTTAAAGGGCTCATAATTATATAATTTGGCTGTTAATAAAGTGAGATATAACACCAGTTCAACTGCAACATATCAGCTCCCTCTCAGCCCATGATCAAACCCTCCTCAATATGGTTTACACTGTTTTGTAAAAAAAAAATGTTATTCTAGAATTTTCTATGTATTAAATATGTTACACTAAGGAAAGGGATGGTAATTTATTACACAATGTATTAAGATGAACGTAGTTGGGTAGAGGTAATTTGTAGGGGGTCTCACATCACCTTTCCAACCTGTAATGTAAGATTCAGGTTTTTTCATGATGTACACTCACAGTACTTTGTTCTGACAAAATGTTATCCATGTGCTAGAAGGGATGAAATTGACCGTTTTGGGGTTTTTTCGAGGGGGTCTGGGATCAGACCCAAACTCTCGGGGTTCATCTTATTTTTTATAATGTAGCCTATTTGACGGCCTATCCAACATTAAGGGGTCAAACCTCCTAGGCAAAATGGGGTGAAATCTTATGTTGCTAGCTGTCAGAGTTAACGCTTTTTTCCCTTTTTCAAAAATTGATCGTTAGATGCATTACTTTTTCGAATTTTAGAGCCCGTAATCCTAATTTGATTTTGAAGCTTAAAATCCCTGATACTTATAAGTTACATTAGTATACATTAGTTATGTTCTTACATTTATTGTTGATATCTATCAAGGTAGAACACCCTATTCTACTTACGATTACTTTCAAAAATCCATATAACACTAAATTTAATATAACTGTTTATTTTGCCTTGCCCAAACCACGTATTCATTTGATCAACACAAAATTTAAATTAATGGTGCTAAATATGGAATTATCTTTCCTTAGTTACTAGAAATACACTAGCAGAAATCATTTTATAGCAGTTGTTAAAGAATTTTATATTAAATATATTTCAGATCCATTTACTTACCTCAACTTATCACATACATTTTTAATTAGTTTTGTTTATAATATCTGCTTATCCTGCTTCCGTTATTGTTCATTAAAATTAATTTGTTCAACTTACTGCAAACTGAAATTGGTTTGTATTGTTTTTCATTAAGGTGTTAAACTTATTTTAGTTTTATTAAACTAAATACCTTATCACCCTTTGCCAATAATTGTTAATAATTAACGACATAAATAAAGTTGAAGGAAGT